CTAAACAACCCTGAACCCTAAACAAAGGCCCTCCCCGTCGTCTGGCGGCTCTCCTGGCAGGGCGATACCTTTCGATTCGCTCTCCGACGTGGCCGCCGCTGCTATTCGCGCGAGGGCCGCCTTGCCGCATGCTTCCTACCCCTAAGCATACATTAGGGTTCGGGGTTTAAGGGTTAGGGGTTTAGGGGTTTAGGGGGTTTAGGGGTTTAGGGGTTTAAGGGTTTAGGGGTTTAGGGGTTTAGGGTTAGGGGTTTAGGGTCTAGGGTTAAGCATATAACTACTCACGTATTAGTGGGTTAGACACCAAAGATCGTAGTACTGGACAAGGCTGGCTTCTTGGGCTATTTTGAGCCTCGGGTTATAATCCCTAAGCCCTTATAATCCTAGACCCTAAATCCTAGACTGCTTTGGGAGTAGGCTACTATATTGCAATACCATGCTTGTACCATGCTTGTACAATGCTCCTGCACAGCCCAAAAACTCAACAACAGCAATTCTGAATAGACATGGCTGACTGGGCTTCTAGGGCAATGTCCCCGTGCACAAGGACCTCGGCTACTGCTAATCACCTAACCCTAAGCCCTAAACCCTAAACCCTAAACGCTAAACCCTAAACCCTAAACCCAGGCTCAAACAGTGGAGTCTAGTGAGTCCAGTAAGTTAGGGCATAGCCTTGGAGAGAAATATTGTTCCTCTAGCACATTTTAGGTGTACATTATAGGAGGAAAGTTAATTACATCTTATAGGTATTTATTACTTGTAGAAGTTACAATGATATCTTAGGTATAACTTATAACCTATATTCAATTGAGAAATCCTGCAATCATATTGTAGGTCTGGTTCTTACAGTCACATTATAATTGTACCTTGGCTTTATTATCTTGACCCTACATTCTACTGCATTAAAACGTGAGTTCATGGGTGTGTGTTTTTATCGCATACATTTCTTTAATTATATATTTAAACTAGAGAAACGACTTCTCATTCTATCTCACCTATTAAATAAGCCATGCTTTTGTTCCCATCTTGTAGGATTTAATATGTGATGTGAGTTTATTTTGCCGTACTTGGGATCTTTTGGAGCCGGAAACAAGAGCTGGCTTCATCTAACCTCTCATAACATCCTCACATGTCATTCCGGTTCCTAATGCCTGGTTTAAACGTGGACTTTGCCCAAATAAGCTGACATTCCGGTTCGAGAGCTGCCTGAGGAAAAAACAAACACAGGTAGTCAGAATAGTTACCATCACGACCACACTACCTACAAGCCGCAGCACTGGCTGCAGGTCCCCGGCTATGGCGTCCAATGTAACTTACGGAGGCATCTGCTTCCGGCTCACAAAGTGCCTACGACCCTGCGATCGGACTCCTGCTGTCAAACCCAAAAAAACCTGCAAATACCTCACCCTAAGGGTCCATGTACCCAAATAGATATACTTTGGCCTTAAAGTAGTCCCTATATAAGTACTTTGGGGCCAATGTATATACTATTTGGGTACATCCCTAATCTTCGTCTTTAGTGCACGAGATCCTGGGCGGGAGATCGCTGCGAGCTTGCTCTTCAGCATCCCTCTCAGAACAATTCCAATCTATTAGGGTTTAGGGTTTAGGGTTTAGAGAAAGTAGTGTAAACTCCAAAACCCTTTCCCGATCCCGGTTCCGCAATCCCGAAACCCCAAACCTACCCTATCGGTACCCTAAACCCTAAACCCTGAACCCTAAACCCCGATCTGGGACCTCGCAGGCCGTTCGGTGGTCATCTGCCAACAGTAGCAGCTGCTGTCTTTCGTGTGACACCACACGGAGTATCTCCTGCAAGCACACGTGGTGTACCTAATTCAGGGTCCTTAATAAAATGGAACCTCATGTTTGTGAAACTTAAGTCACATATCGGGAAGGGGGGAATTCAGAAGAGCCCATCACGAGGCCTCGAATGCAACATGCACTCGGGTTAGCTACAATCTGACATTGTGAAGGCTAACATCTCAAGACCTGTTTGCAGCAGGAGCAGCAGGATGACGCTTGACGTTAGGCTACATTATTAGGCGTCCCATGTACGGCTCTAGAAGTCTCTCAGGTTCTATCAACAGTGCGGTGAGAATGTGGCCGACATAGTACAACATACAAACAATTCAATTAAGGGTCCCGGTCGCTGAACTGCATCGGCTATGGGAGAGAGAGACAGACGCACACGAACAGACAGTGACAGACACAACCACGGACGCATGCGTGCGTACACATAGGTTTTCAACCCTCACGCCACGCTGACCACAGATGAATCCACACACACACACACACATGTGCACGTGCACAAGCATAGAGACATACACACAGACACACACACACACACACACACAAAGACTCGCACACAAAGACGCAGACGCAGCCACCGATACGCAAACATGACACAAAGACGCACAGACACGCACAGACACACACACACACACACGCGCACAGTCACACACACACACACACACATTCTTACACACACAAACAAACACACACACACACACACACACACTCACACACACACACACACACACGCGTACGCACATATGATCAGACGCACACACACACACACACGGACGCACAAGCGTCATCTCTCTCTCGCTCTCTCTCTCTCTCTCTTTCTCTCTGTCTCGGTCTATTTGGCACACACACACACCGCTCAGCTCCTCCATGGCTACTGGACTGGATCCGCTCTTCACCGCGCGGATGCACCAACGCTTCAAAGGATGGGCCTATACGCTTCGATTTGTACTTGGCAGGTCCCCTCTTTCCTCAAATCCCCAACTTGGGGACCTACACCCCATCCTCTATTAAGCTTCAGTACTTGCTATCTGCCAACAGCCCAGGCAGAACCCCTAAATTGACACAGGCTTGTCATGCCGACACCGACAGCCTTAACCCAGCAGACCTACATAGATAGTGTTCCAAATGGGGAAACAACGACATCACCCATGCAAAGCCTTGTCGGTGGCCCAAAAAAAACCAAATGCTAACATGGGTTTGCTCGCATTTCTGGAAGTCATGCAAAGATGCTCTGGAGCCCTCCTCAAAACGGCAGCAGGAGCACATGGACCGGCACGGCAACAAGGCTTCCCTATGCCCATTAGAAGGTGCTATACTAAATGATGCCGTATAATACCGCATAGTACAGCATTGTTTTATATGATTATACCTTACAACCTTATCATATACTGTACTACATGACTATACATGTTATACTATAGTATACTTTTTCTTTTCTGCTCTATGCTGTTATAGACTAGACTCGACCAGCCTGTACTGTACATTACTGTGCTGTACACTAGACTCGACTAGACTAGACTAAACTGCACTATACTTCGCTATACGGTACTATACTATATTTATATTATACTATAACTATACTACTCATTATGCTACTCTATAGTGCGTACTGTTTCGATTATATTTTGTATAGCAGTACAAGCAGGTATTGTTCGTGAAACAATTGCTGTAGCAGTCAGCTGCACATGCTTGTATCCTGTATGCGTGATCTGAAGACATACACTGCAAGCAAACGGATGACAACTCTTAAATCATTCCATGATTTGACGGCCTCATAAACTGCTCAAAGATCTATATCATGCGCTTGGCGTGTAGGAATAACACGAAGCCTGGAAGATTAGCAATCGGAGTTGATGCCCAAAGAAGCACATTCCTGAAAGCACATGGCCTGTCACACACCACACCCGCTGCTTCATGACATGCTCACACAATAATTCAATATGTGTGCCAGCGCCTGCACATCATACTCTCCTGCCAATGCTGTTGCCGCAGACACCTTCCGCTCGTCTCAGATCGTGACGTAAAGGTTGGAAACGCAAATCCCCCAACCCTGGAAAGGTGCACCAAAGCCTAGCCAAATCATTGAACCCTAAGCCCTAAACCCCTAAATTCCTAGCCCCAAAGCCAACAACTGAGCACATGATATCTTCGCAGTGCTCGTGAATGCCAATGCTGTAGGAACTCAAAGTGCTACACTACCGCGAGAGCGCCGACAGATCTTTCTTTTCACGTACGTATGTATGGAAGGATGGAAGAATGGGTAGATGGAGGAATGGATAATCGGATGAACGCATGAATGAATAGTTTGATGGATGTATGTTCTGTGTGCACATGTAACTTATGTGCATGTGTATGTATTCAGAACATCTGTATCGTCTGTATCTATGTATGCATGTAGGTACGTACGTGTGTACGTATGCATGTACGTATGGCAATGTATGTATGTAATGTTGCATGAACACGTACGTATGTCTGCATGTATGCATGCATGCATGCATGCATGCATGCATGTCTGTCTGTCTGTCTGTCTGTCTGTCTGTCTGTCTGTCTGTCTGTCTCTGTATGTATGTATTTTTGGCACTCGCACTCGACCAGGTCAGGC